TATTCTGGAGTATTCTGGTTTGTCATGTTTGAAGGACTAATATGCAGTTTGAAGTCCGGTCCGAAATACTCAAAGTAATCATTATATGGCAACTCTAATAAAAATAAAGTTACACATTAAAGGCTCAATTTTTACATAAATTCACGCACAGAATTCAGATTCAGATAGCGAAATTATTTCCAAAGAAAATGTTTAAAGGTGAACATGAAGTGAATGCTCTTCTATTTATATAGCTTTGAAGACTACTCTAATCATTCAGCCATCTATTTCTATATACAGATGGTGCATGACTTTCAATGGTCTGACTTAAAATTCTTCAACCTTATGATGGTGTGAAACTATCATAATTTCAACGTAATATATTACATGAGATATTTAATATTTTACTATTATAAAATAGGCTTGGTATTAGCTTATCTTCTCTAACTGTAGGCTAATGTAAGTGTTCTGGGCATGTTTATGGTTGGCTAGGCTAAGCGATGATGTATAACAGGGTAACTGTTTAAATTCATTTTCGACTTAATGTATTTTCAATTTACGAGGGGTTTTTCAGGAGGGAGTCCCATCATAAGTTGAAGAGCATCTGTATTGACAGCTTATACCATAAAGAAATCACAGTAAGAACACTCACCATTAGGAATCTCACAATCTAGGGCAACTGCAGTCTCATATGTCCAACATCGAGCAACATTACGGATTGTGTAGCCACCGCCTCCAAGCATCATAATGGTAGGTAAAAGTTTTACAACTTCTACACATTTAGCATGACCTAAGATAAAGAAGAGTTGGATAAACAACGAAAAGTGTGCATATTGTAACAGTCAGAAAAATGAATTTTAAAAAGATAAATAAAACAAAATTACTCAACCCAAAAGGATTTCTAAATATTTTAAAACAAAGAAATCCAAAAAATCTAGTCTTAAACTCCTTATCACTTTTCATACAAGATATACATAACTCAGTAAGACATAAATGGCTATGTTGGCAAGTGTCCTGATAGAAAAGTCATAAATGCAACTAGATACATTTATACATATAAATACACACATATCTTTACTAACACAGGAAGATGTCTATGTGATGTTACATGATAAAAATAAAAATATCAGGGTACAATGAAACATTATGCACAATCTAAATGACTTTGCTACATGTTTTCCCTGTGGACATGTATAAAATAATTATGTCTCCTGCTGGTTACTGTAAAAAAAAAAAAAGTAAAAAAAAAAAAAAAAAATAATATGAAGTACATAACAAAGTTTACTTGTGGGTACCTTAGTAGTTACTATGGATAATTTTCTTAACTTATTTAAGATTTAAAATATATTATTACTATTTTAAAAACTTTAAAAACTTGTATGTGTGAATTTGAAACAAAAGTAAACCTAACATAAAACCAAATATCTCCTCTGGATAAAGTCATAGCTCGATAATCATTTGTAATTAGCGTTAATTTCTTTGAAATTTATCATCAGGCATAAAATTCAATCTTTAAGAAAGAAATCTTCAATTATAAAAGACATTCATAAATACGAAATATTTGGAAAAAAGCAAAAAGGTACAAAGAAAAAACTAGCCCCCCAAAAGTCCATTATCCAAAATACTTTTTCTATATTCCCTTTCAATTCCAAGTTAATTTTACAAAGTTTAATGATCTGTTCTCCTCATGAATTGTATATTGTGGCATTTTCATTAAATATTCTTCAATATTGCTATATAGTTCACAATCTGATTTTCATTTTGCTACTGGGAACATGGGACTTGCAATAGAAAAAGAATTCTTAAAAGCAAAACAACCTACAAAAAGTTAACTTACAACTTCTAAGTCAAGATAGCTGCTAAACAAAGAACATTACTTTTCCTTCATCTTGAAACTTGACAAAAATGACTATAAAGAGATTCTTTAAAAGCTAACTCCAATTAGATGAGAATGGAGAATACAACAGCAAGAACATAACTGAAGCAGAAAGACATAGACAAAAAGAAAAACAAGTTATGCAGAAAGTAAAACTGGTGTAGTGAAGTGTTAAAGATGCTACTGTCATAACAGCAGTAGCACATCACAAGTAAAATTCTGATGTAAAAATGGAGATATGAGAAGGGTACAGATATGTTGAAGACAAGTGGTGAGGGGCTAAACCCTCTCTTCTTTGCCAAATGAAAATTAGTATTAAGGCTAAAATTAAAAATCCAATTAGGTAACACAAGTATGCATGCATTTGGGGAAAAGGTAAACACCAAAAAAAAATCAACAAAAACACTGAAACTATTGCCTTGGTGGGACTGCAACCAGTCTCATAAAACTATTCATGTACAGAAAGTACAATAAATTTGAAAAATGAACAAGATTAACTCTAGTCACACATACACACATATGACAGACAAAAACCTATGAAAAATACAAAGCAGAGTTTAGTTTGTTAACAGCAGGCAAGAAACTGCAATGAGAATTTACAGGAAGAAGTTGTGAAGAAAATCTATTTTTTTCTGGAATATTATCCTTTAAATTGTTACCTTTCACTGTTAGATTGAAACAACCAAGTCTATCACCAGATAATGAGTCTGCACCACACTGTAATACCACGGCACTAGGCTGATACATCTCCATCACTTTTGAGATAATCTAAACACAAAATAACAAATGTTAATATCTCTAACAACTTTTAAAATTCCATTTCAATTTTGAGAATAATAATACTTACAGGCTTAAATATCTGTCCATATGACTCATCATCTATACCATCTCTCATTGGAAAATTGACAGCATAGTATTTGCCTTTTCCAGCACCAATATCCTAAAAATACATAGTTAAACAGATCTTAGAATATATTTTATAAGAGAAAGGTTTGAAATTTGCTTATTACATTTTTAAAAGACTAAAAGACCAAGTATTACAGATCCAATCTTGAATTCACCTTAGTTGAAACAGGAATATAAACTGAGAAAGGAAATGATAAAGAATAAGTACACGTTCCAATTATTTATACACTGCTTGTAAAGCCTAAACAAACCATTTCATATTAATCTGTAATGATTTATTTTGGGAGAAAGAAATTTAACACAAACAGGTAAAGGCAACATGAAATTATACCATTACATTGAACCAGAAAATTCATCTTGAACAGATACATAAGATGAGAAGGAAACTTTGTGAATAAACCTGTGGCAAATACAGACTAAGCCAAAGAACCCGGCAGGACAACTGTATCTGTAATGCAGAATCATTCTTCTAGTTCACAATCTCTGGTATGAGTTTACTTATGACAGAAGAAAGGCCCAGATTTTCTTGAAGTTTTAACAGATACAGACCAAAGCATCAGATTTCTTTTTAATTGGACTGGAAATAAATTTTGTTTCTACTTGTTGAATGAGTACCACGCCAGGCATTAATACCTCAAAAGAGGCAAAGGTTCCAGCTATATACACACTCTGAAACCATATATACATATATTATATACACTTATTTAATCCTGTATGTGTGTATATCTGAGTATATACATATATATTCATATATATATTCCCAGAAAAGATTGATAAAAGACATTTCTAATTATACATTTCCTCTTGCAATTTTTCTTAAAGACTAAATTTTTATTAAGATTTATTAACTAAATATGAACTACACAAATGTGGATAAACTACTGAGAATTCCTACACTCCTGCACAGTTGAACCACAGTTGGCATATAATTTGACCCTAAAAGTTCAGAACATGGAAAGTTGATCAGGACTTCTCACCCTAGCTGCCTCGAGCTGGCAACTCAGAGCTGCTGCCCTTGTGGGAACAAGCTTTTTCTCTTCCATTTCTTATTCCACAACTGCAACTTTATCATCTTCTGTTTCTTTTTTCCACCTAGACTACTCTAAAGCAAGCAGCATTTTAACAATGATCTAAGCTCACAGTAACCTTCTTTTCTGCTTTAGAATCAATTAGGAAGAAAAGGGAGTGTTTATTAAATTAATATTCAAAGATACACATGAGTTTCACAGAAAGTCCAAATACAGCTGCACATATTATATAATGTACAGATTGATTTTAGTTTTCTCACAAAATTATGGGGGCACATTTAAAATATCAAATATTATTCATAGAATAACATTTCATATTTTATCAACATAACTCTGTTACTGAAAGAGTAATACACTGCGACCAAATAAAGAAAAACCATAGATTTAAAGAATATTTTAAGGCCACTCTTTAACAACATACCATAGATGTGAAAAATAAATAAAATAAGTTATAGCTAATGTTGAATGCCATGCTATGAGAAATCCCCCATATAATCCAGGCTGAACTAAAAAGGTGTTTAAATTTCTGAATAAATTTCAATATGCATGTAGTTAGGTTCAAAAACACTCTAGTGAAGCAAAAACCTTCAATGGGTTTATAGAAAAAGAAAGTGACCTGTGGTTTTCACGTTCATAAAAGACGAGTGCACCAAATGGAAAAAGATAATAGAAATGTAATAGAAATAAATGCACTTAAATGTTAGGCATGCAAGGCTAAGTTATGGTATCGTGTCTCTCCCTAAAGAGTATACACTACAAATTTCAGAAGCCCAAGGAAAGAAAAAAGATTAAAATCAGACCTACTAAAAATCAAGACCAATCACAAAGGAGGGCAGCAGAGGAATCTAAAAATACCTAGTCTATCTTATTCCACCAATTTTTACAATCAACAGCAATGAAGGCTACCATCAGGTAGTTTTGAAGGTTCAAACTTAACATCAATAAAAGGGCTTCATGCTTCACAGATATTCAAAAATATTTATTCAACCAAAGAATACAGCAGAGAAAAAAAAAAAAGTTCTTTAAGTTCTCATTCAATTTTTGCTTAAAGCCTGCAAAAGTGAATTGTAGCAGATGTTACCACATATAAAGTGATTCAATTCTGCATAGAAGCTTCAAATTAATGACTCAGGAAAAATATTAGTTCTAGTATAGGATTACTAACCACCTAGGTTAATCTCATAGTATTTATTCAGACAGAATTTAGTCTTACCCTCAAGTCTCCCGTGCCAGGAAAGTATTCCCCATATTTATGGAATGATACAGTCATTACACGATCTGTTGTATAAAAAGCTTCTTCTACAGCTCATCCACCATGTATGGAGTTATTCATATAGTCAATATATAGACTCTCTGATTGATACCTGAAAACAAAAGTATAAGGTGGTGTTTTCTCTCTTTTAAGGTTTCTAAGATGGGAAGAACCACCAGTGAATCTCAGGAAACCTATTTTTGACCTCTTGCGTTCAGAATGTTAATAACCTTCTTTTAGCTTTACTTTCCAGCCTCAGAAGACACATACTAAAACATCTGGAAGTCAGTAGTTTGAAACTATACACCTTTAAATCTCCCCTTTTGTCCGATGTAAGTGAAAAAATAGTACTCTTCATCTCTTCTATGATTAATTGTTTCATGATTCTATTATGCTTTAAAAAACATAGGCATAATGGCTGGGTGTGATAGGAGGCTGAAGGAGAAAGATGGGGCTAGGCCAGGAGTATCAAGACCAGCCTGGGCAACATACAACAAGACCTCATCTCTAAAAAAAAAAAAAAAACCCAGAATATGGTTGGGGCATGTGATACAGTCCCAGCTACTTAGGGGTTGAGGTGGACGGATCGCTTGAGCCTAGGAGGTCAAGGTCAAGTAAAGTAATGATTGGCCGCTCCAATCTGCATTCCAGCATTGGGCGACAGGTGAGACTAGCTCCCTCAAAAATCAAACAAACACACAAAAAGCCCAAAAAACCCTATCACCTGGACATGTTTTCTGTGTAATGTCAACAACTCAAGAATTACACCATACTTTAAGATATGTTACTTTAATTAAACATCGTCTCTAGTAAAATCTTTAATATTTTATAAAGATAAGAATTTGGAAGCTACCAGACTCCATTAAGCAAATACCTCTTTTTTACAGGTAATAATAGTTGTTACTTGTTTTAAATGGTTGAATATAAAATTAAATCAAGAGTATTTTCTGGAACAATGACAATTACATAAAATTTTAAAATTTCAGTGTCCATAAAAAAAAAATTGGTTGGAAACATAGGCATTTGTTTACTTATGTCTTAATGGACTTCTTTTGAAACTGCCAGAGAGATGAATAAGTAGATTTGAAGGTGGATAGAGACCACATGTGGTATTTCCATCACTTCGAAAACTAGTGTTTGCCAGCACTACAAGTCACAGTTAAAATCAGCGCTTATACCCATCACTCAAAACTAGAAAAGAGAAAAAGTGGACTTCAAAGTAACTCCTTTGATGAGAAGTACAGTGAAGTATTAATTGTTTATTGAAATTAGATGGCAAAGCAATTGTGTTTATTATGCAATGCGTACCATAGCTGTGCTAAAAGAATACTATTGTAAGTTGACATTTGACAGACTCTTAAGCATTCTTTAATTAATATTCTCAATACACAGCAGTGAAGAAATGATATATTTAGAAATTTATAAGAGTGGTTTAATCTCATTCAGTTCGGCTAGAAATTTGCTTCACAAAATTGTAAAAAATAAAAGTGAAGTTGTAAATGGAAGTGAAGTTTCTGAGTGGCTGTTGATGCTAGAGAGAAGAGAAAAACTGTTTACTAATTCAAATTAAACTTAAACATGCTTGGATTGTACCACATTAGAAAAATGTTATACCAATAATTAAATTTGTTTAAGACCTATCAGCTTAGTGGGCGAAGAACATTGCTCAAAGACGTTGATCAGACACTGTTGAGGCATCGAACATTTATAGATGTTGGAACCAACATCAGATATTCAATAAAAAACAAGCAAAGATTTCAAAATGTTTTCTTTGGATCTGGACTGCTACATTCAATAAGATTGTTACACTAACTACGCTGCTCAAGTTATTTGTTATATTTAAGGAATCGAATACCAAGTTTTAAGTGACTTGAAAAACTAGTCTCTATGGATTGATAGTAAGCATGGAATTACCTAGCTCAAGCAAAAAAATTATTTGCAAAGCATGGAAAAAACCCACAAATCAGTACAACATGGAAGTAGAATCATAAGATTGTGTTGTGTTTACAACTGATGGTACAAAATATCCTAACTGTTAAATCTCCAAAATTTCCTATAGTTACCTTTACCGCTATATGATTCTCTCTTCAAATTGCAGCAAGATAATAAAATAATCCTTTAGCACTTAAGAGATCAATTTTATATCCACTGGTGAAGACAAAGCCCATTCAGAAAAATGGGGAAGCTAGGCAGTCAGCTAGATTCATCAATAAACAAATTTCCTTTAACGGTTAGGCTTCAAAATTTTTGCTTTCAAGATTACTAAATGTCAGATATGTTAAACTTCTAAGGTACATGTCTTTTTTCAATTAGTTGAAATTACTCAAATCAAATTGCCAAGCTACTCCTAATATTTTTAAAAAAGGCGTATTTACATATCAATATTTAGACCTTTGATATATATATTTCTCAGTTATAATAATCAAAACATTTTAATTCATTAGGGATGACAGTATCACACATTAAATTAGACTTCTTTAGTAATTCAAGAATGGCAAGCAACCAATATCATTAACATAACAGAAAACCTGATGCTTCTGATTTCTTAGCTCGATGTAATCTCCAGCCCAATTAACAGCCATATCCAGTTTGTTGTCGGGTTTACTTCACGGCCCCAAGCTAGAAGTTAGAAACAAGGATATAGTAGACTTGTTAAAAATATTTAAAAAATAAAAAATTAGGAGTAAATAGACAAAGAGACCCGTCAGTAAGTATAGAGTATGCCATGCTGGTAAGAAAAGCTTAAATCATACGAGGATAAAGCTCATGCACCTAGGACACTAGATAAGCAGTTTTTCCTTAAGATAAATATTTTACCATATAGCTGTGACCGTGAGATTAAAACAAGTGGAGAAGTGGTAGTTAACAATGGTTAGCTAGCAGAGGATAGGGGAAAAAAAATATAGTACTCTAAGTGAAAATAATAAGTTTACAAAAAAAGTGAGTCTATTAAAGGTCATGAAACATGGTGATTTAAAGTAAGACTGGGTCCCTTTACCTGATAAGAAAGATATAGTTGACTTTCTTTTCTTATCAGATTCCACTCATTAAATTCTGCTTTAATACCAAATAACACCAAATGAAGTTTTTATTATATCAAGCTTTAGGGATCAGACATGGCTAAATCTGAATAAGATTTACACTTACCAAACTGAGCGCCAGGTTGGAAGAGCTGAGGCAAAAGAATCAAAGGAGTCCATCAAACCACTGGTACAATCCTACTCCCAACCATTAAATGTGGAAGAATGGATTTCGATTGAGATTTGCAGACTCATTCTGCAAATTAACGAAAGCCTTTTCTTACAAAAACTATTTCCTACAAATACTTTGTACAATCATAAAACATTATTAACCTTCATCGTAAGTAACCTAAGTCTGCAATTTTAAAAGTAAATTATTATTTTATCCAAGATTGATTAAGTTATTATTTGTGAAGAACCAACTACCAATTCACTGTCTGGATCTATTTCGTCGGATAATTATCTACATAGTTTATTAACAAGAAAGGATTCAATATGTGTCAAGGTATAAAGAAAGTATTTTTTTATTTAATTAAACATGGGCTTAAATTTTCTGGGCATTTTCTCCTTAAATATTTAACAATTATTTAATCAAAGATTCTAAAAAATAAGTAACTTCAATTTCTTTAATCAGTTCCTAATACACAATTTAACATCCTCAACTTTGAAATGTATGTGTAAAGTGGGTACCAAAAAGATATAGCAGCTAGTGCCTACGTCAAGTGGCATATGGTTAACCTTGACTTGAAAGATGGTAAGAACGTTAAACTAGGATTCATGGGAAGCAAGATATAGGTAGTACTTAAGGACCACAAGGAAAACAATATATAGAGACATTGAGACTATCATGACACTATTTTAGTTCCTTAGTACTGACAGAATAGAGGGTTACAGTAGATATGTATAACCCATTCTCAGTCTCATCCCTACGTCCCAAATTATAACCTTTTAAGGGAATTAAGGCTCATCTGTTTTATAAATCTTTGTATATCCGTAAATGAAAAGAATAAATTTATACTTTCTTATACTTCAGATATGATCTTGAATACATTTAATTAGGTTTTTAAATCGAGTCCATGTTTAATATCATCTTGCTTAAGGGGCATCCCCTTTACCTTATGCTTCGGTCTTTTTTAATTTAAGTCTGATTTATCCCCATCTGAAAAAAATGAATAAATAATATCTGTTTCTATTATAATTATAGCAATTTAACTAATCAAATGAGATAATCTAACAGATGGAAATGTATATGAGGTTATGATATTTAGAGAAATGCACTAGAACTAACACTTACATTTGTTATAATTACAGAGGCCGATACAATAAAAACAACTTAGTGAGAATGAACTCCAGTATCCAAGCGATTAAAAAATTTTCGATAATTTTAGGATGACTTTTGCATCTACCTTAAGCCAAATTGTTACTAACCTCTAAAAGACACTTTAAACTATAAAAAGAGAACATTATTGTAGCAAGAGAATCAAAAAGCTGCACTAATATACCAAAAGCAGAAAAAAAGATTATTACAGTCCAGGTTAACTAAAGTACACAATATAAAGGAGAGATATAGAGGGTTATATACCAAGGACTATCAAAATATAATCTTTCTTTCGAAACAAGGGAGTGAGATCTCTCTATCAACATCCATTGTCTCAAAGTTATCATGGAAGCAAAATAAAGAGTAGAGGAACATCTAAACAGCAGGTTTCACAGACCAATAACTTCAGACAAGTGTTGTTTTTTTCTTTAGTAGCCTTTATATTATTTATAACTGACTTATTAAATCAATAAAAATAACATCTCTATCAAACACACAATTCAGACCAATAGGAAATAAATTCCCATAATTTGCGACAAACTACTTAAGTGGATATAAATCCGAAAAAATACTCATTGTATACTTATCATATTAAATACTTTTTACATAGAAAGTAACATCTTGCAATGCATTCACTGCTTTTACTATACTCAGACATGTTATCTGGTCTTATTGACCGCAAAAATTTGATATACTCATCACTGTGGTATTT